ACTTGGAACACAGTGCCAAATTCCTGAGGGCGCTACATCCATGTGTGCACACTAAAAAATATTCTGGGAGTAAGCAAAGCTTGATTTAATGCAGGATATTCTACAGAGGGCAAACTACGTGGGAATTTGGGAATCTTCTTAAATCAGTTACTAGCTCAGGTCTAGAGAATCAGTGCTTGGAAATGAAAACTGGGCTTTTGGAATGCTGAGTCTATGACCTGTAATAGTAATAACTGTGGATCCTTTGCTGTAGTACAAATAAGGCACCAAGTGCTTCATACGCATTATTTTATGTTTCCATTAGAACCCCTTAAAGGGGCTGGCATTGTGGTGCAGTGGGTTAAGCCACTGCCTGCCAATGCTGGCATCCCATGTGAGTGAAGGTGGAAGTTCCAGGTGCTCCATTTCTGATCCAGCTCCCTGCTAATGTGCCTGAGAGAGCCGCAGAAGATGGTCTGGGTGTTTGGGTTCCTGCCACCCACACAGCAGACACAGATGGAGTTCCAGGCTCCTGGCTTTGGCCTGGCCCGGCCTGGCCCAGGCTGTTGCCATTTGGGATTTGGGGAGTGAACCAGTAGATGGAAAATCTCTCTTTCCCTCTCTTTCTCTCTCTGTCGCTCTCCCACTCCTCCCACCCCGTGTGTGTGTGTGTGTGTATGTGTGTCTCCCCCTGGGGGTGTGTGTGTGTGTGTGTCCCCCTCTCTCTGTAACTCTGCCTTCCAAATTAATTAATTTTTTAAAAATTCCTTATAGATGAGGAAACTTAGCCTTGGAAAGTCTAAACAACTTGCCCAACTAGTGTCAGCCCCGCGATTTTGAACACAAGACACAGCATCACACATCCAGCCTCTGCCCTGGACTGAATTACACCGGCCCTGCCAGCCCTCTGCTGTGGGTGGGGTGAGGCCTGCACACGGTCCTCTGGGGCTCTCTCCATCCCTCCCCCTGATTTTTTTCCAATGTCTCTGAGTCTATCATCCAAACTTTGGGAAGTCCATTTTAACTGATGAAATCCTCCGGCCATATTGCCACACCGCTGTGTGTGGTCTGTCTTGTGCTGGGTCGTTTCCTGTGCTGGCTGTAGCCCCACCCCCTAGAGATTCCTGTCAGTACCTTGGCACATGGGGTGACCTAGAGGAACCCACAGAAAAGTGAGAATGATTAAATGTGTGCACGTATTTCAAAGTAGAGTATGTTGAACCCCATGCAATCACTTGGGGAAAAAAATTCTCATCTATAATCATCTTCATCAGTTTGGGACAATGTAAAAAAAAATACCCTAGAGTGGTGTCTTACAAAGCAATTGTTTATTCCTCACAGTTCTTAAGACTGGGAAGCCCAGGATTGAGATGTTGGCAGAGTCAGTGTCAGGTGGAGTCAGCTTCCTACTGGGCAGACAGTCATGCTATGGTTATGTTCTCACTCCATCTCTCTCTCCTAGAAGGGCACTAATCCCACTCCTGAGAGCTCACCCTCAGGCCCTAATTATCTCCCAAAGATCCCACCTCCTAATACCATCACACTGCACACTGTATTTCAACATAGGAATTGTGAGGGAACACCAACAGTTGATCCGTAGCAATAACAAAATTTCTTTGAGAGACTAAATCAATGTGAATCTTTTAAGTTACAGATGGAGAGTTTAATTCACTAGCAGTTCACAAAAGCATGCAAAAACCATGACCATCCTCTGTCATGTTAATTTACTGGGTCATTAAAAAGCAACATTATTTTTGTATTAAAAAATAATACAGGCATATTACATAATAGTAGGCTAAATTCATCTGAGTTTTAGTTTAAAATGAAAAATAATCAAATAATAATTAAAAATAATCAAATTTGCAGCAAGCTGCTGTAGGCTGCCATTCCACAAACACTCCTTGGGCGCCCGCACTGTGCCGGGCAGAATGAGAGTTCCAGTGTCAGCCATGAGAAAGGCAGCGTCTCTGCTGCTCCTGGGTCTTGAAGTCCAGAGGGGAAAGCCCACAACAAAGCAGTTCTTCCACCTGTAGGCAGTGTTCCAATAGAGACCACCACAGAGCCACGGGAGCATAGGGCAAGGGGGATGGTAACTTCAACTTGGACTTGGGGAAGGCTTTTTGAAGGAAGTGACTTCTAAGTCGAGATCTGGGAAGTGATGAATAGGGAGATTTGAAGTTTGAAATTTCACAAACAAGAGTGAGCACGGGTGTTCTGGGAACTGAGAGAGCACGAGGGGCTGTGGTAGGGTGGAAAGCAGGACTTTTGGGGGAAATACCTAAGTAGGAAAGTATGAGAAGCACTGACTTTCTGGGCTGACTGACAGCTGGAGTACAACCACACGTACTCATAAAACAGAACGAGTCAAATAGTAGTTGAATACATGATCAGGCAAATAGTACTCCTTACAGGAGCATTTGTATTCTCCAAGATAATGCTAGGCCCAGAAAACCTAAGACAACCAGTTGGAAAGCAATAAAAAACAAAAAGAATTCAAGGAAGAGATGAGTTGCAAGCAAATGTGAGTGCATAAAGCCAATAACATTTCCTGAACCATAACTTGCTAGGAATTGTGGTAAACGAAAATATTTCATTTAGAATAGCAACCAGAAAAGAATTCTAGGGATAAACGTTGTAACTAATTTTCAGAATCTTTATTAAAGCACTTTAATAGTCTGTGAACAGACCTGAAAATGATTTATATTGAACGAGAAACTGAGGTCTTTAATGGGAAGATATAATTTTCTCCTAAATTAATTTACAAATCAAATGAAATCTCAGTTGAAGTGAAATTATATTAAAGTTCACTTGATTCATCTGAAAAATTGTTGAATATGAAAAATATGAAGAACTAGCCCACTTTGATACTAAAATTATTTCAAAGCTACAATAATTAAAATAGTTTGGTATTAGAGAAAAAGAGGTCATGAGTAATAATGATGCTATGTATGATATAAACAAGTCATAAAACAAATTCACATGAGTTTAACATATGGAATGATGATACTTTAAAACAGTGTGGAAAAGGTGGTTAATCAATGAAAGGTGTTGGATCAACTAGACGTTTAGAGAAAGAAAAAAAAAAAGCTGAAACTCTACTTCACTTATTACATTAGCATCAATTACAGATAGATCAAATACTTAAATGTAAAAAAAAAAACCTGTAAAATTTCTAGAAGAATAAATGGCTGAGTTTATGCTTCTGGAATCAATAAGCCCCTTTTAAGAAGCTCTCAAAACCCTGAATCTTTAAAGGAAATAATTGATATATTTAACTATATAAAAATTGTGATGGAGGTGAGGTAAAATATGCTATAAGCCAAGAGAAATGACAAATTGGTAGAATATTTACAACTGATGTGACTTTTTCATTTTTCAAAAAGTTCATGCAAATAAAATTGAGAACTGATGAGTAATCCAACAAGGGGAAAGTGGACAAAGTATTTCAGTATAATTACCAAAAAGTAAAAATAAGGAGTAGTCAGTATATATGAAAATATGCTCAATATTACTCAAAAATAAAGAAATGCAAATTAAAAAGCAACAACAGCCTTATTTTGTAGCTCCAGTTGTGAGAAACTACAGTGATGAGGCTGTATTCTGAGAAGGCTACAGAGAGGACAGCACTGTTACACTGAACCGAGACAGTGTGTGGCAGACTGGTTCATTTCTAGAAGGAAACTGCAAAATGTATCAAATTTTAAATGTACATATTATTTTACATAGCAATTGCTCTGCTAGGAATTTATCTATATAAATATACCTATAGATATTGGCCGAGAGATATGTACATGTGTGTACATAGTGATATTATTTGTAAAAGAAAAAATTAAGCAACCTACCAATAAGGCATTAGTTACATAAAGAATAGTGCTCCCATAGGTTGGGTTATTATGCAGCTATGAAAAAGAACGAGGTAATTTTGTGTGTACAGAGATAGGGAAAAGAGGTATAGAAGACTATGTGTCCAGCATCATTCCTTTTGTGTCAGTTTTATAGGAATGGATGAGATGAGATGAGATGATAGATGGACAGATGATGGATATATACACATACACGTACACATATCCATAATAGGGGGATGATAAATGACAGACAGATAGATAATAGATAAATGGATACACATGCAAGTGGATATAGATATAAACAAGCCTACGGAAAGCGATCAAAGAAATATCTGTGCCAACCTTGGGCAGAGGCAGAGAGCTAATGGATGAAGCCTCTCATGTTTCACTTTATACTTTGTTCTATAATTAGAACATTTAAAATATATAGATAAGATACTTTCATTTATTAAAATAGGAATATGAATTACTTGGATAGTGGGATGATAGACTTTTTTCCTTCCTTAAATGTTTAGTTAAAAAAAGTAGAAGTGGGGAGGAGAAGGAATAAGGAAAAAGATCCCAGGAAGCTTTTGACCAAAAGCAATAAAGCTCAAGTGGTGGCGTCTCTGACACTGCTGGGGTCACAGGAGGAGCTATTTGTAGAGGAAGGGAATTTGCAGCACCTTGCAGACTCCCCACTGGCTTCCCATAATAATGGTTCTCCCATACACAGCCATCCATGAGCTTGGCTTCAGCATCAACAGAGTTAAAATAAATGAAAGGAAATCAGGCTTTAAAAAGAATGTCGTTATGATTTATGCAAGCATTTCCTCTCTATAGATAAAATTGAGCAAGATGACAAAACCAGATACAGGTTCACCTCATGTCTTTTCTTCCCTTCCGCTGAGTGGGGCAGAAGATGGCTCACACCCATTTGACCTTTTTATTGGCAGGCGTGCATGCTCCAGTGGCCTCACCATGCAGTTGCCTTCAGCTGGAATCCAGGATGCCAGGAACATGTTCTATCATACTGATTGGCTCTTCTCTGCCTCATCATCCATTTCTGAGACTCTCCCTCTCCCAGTTCCTTCCTGGGAAGGTGGCTCTGTCCAATAAATCTGTCCCAGTCGTTCTCTGGGACCAGGTCTGTGCTTAGAACTATGCTGGGTACAAGAGATTTTAAAATACAACCTCTACACTTAGAGAAATGTTTAATGCTTCTGAGAAGCCTCAGAAAACAATTAAGCAGTCAAAGGAAAGTAGACAACTAAAGAATTTCAGCCAAGAGTTTGTGACGGAGCAGATGTTGGGGGAGTGACTCAAACTCCAACTAATTTCTTCTTTATCCATGCAGCAGGCTCCTAGAGAAGATTTGTAAAAAGGATGGAGTCAGTTGGCTTGTTCCTTTTGCTGTTTCCCCCTTCTACTTTTGTTTTCTTTTGGGGATGTTGCTGGGAGGCTGGGAGGCAGTAGGAGGAGTAGCCATTCTACAACCAGTGGCAATAGGCACAAGCGTGAAGCCAGCATGCTAAGGAAGGCAGAGTGGAATACAGAACATCTGTCATCTTTAGGCTGCTGTACCAGCCCTGATAATCCACGTATGGATTTGTCATTAAGTGAGAAAAATAAGCCTCCCATTTGTTTAAGCTGCTACTAATTTGATGTTCTGTTATTTGCAGCCAAATCCATTATTAACTGATTCACCTGGACTTAAGAGGAAGTAGCTCTTGATACAGTGGAAAGAGCATTGGCCCTGGAATTGAAGGATTTGGCTTCATGTTCCAGTGCTGCGGCTTGTATACCAGAGTAAATTATTACTTAACTTTCCCGAGTTTCTATCTCCATAAGTAAAAAATGGGGCCAAGACAGCTACTCAAACAGATGTTTGAGGTCTCCATAAAAAGAGGAAGTGAAAGTAACTGTATATAATCGTCCCAGCTCAATAAATATCTGATAAATCTTTTGTTGAGAATGTAAAAGGACATTGAGGAAGTGAAGCTTAACTGGAATGCCAATCCCAGCAAAAAGAGGCATGGGCAAATCATGTTGCCTCTTGAAACAGAACTGAAATCTAATCTCCCATGGAAACCTCAGGGCAAATGGAATTGTGGCCAGGCGAATCTTGAAAGAAGACATACCTTAGTGCAGGACTGTGGCTCCTCCAGAGAATTCTCAATGCTGAAAAGGAAACACCCTCATTAGCATTTCCTTCCTCTTCTTCCTGCCTTTTCTGCTTTTCTTTCCCTCCTTCTCATTCTCCTTCCCACCCCCCACCCCTTTCAAAGATCAAAACTACTTCAAACCATATAAGGCGGATATAACTTGTTCCAACTCTCCAGGGGAGATGATGGAGCTTGGTTTCTCAAATTTCTAACCCACTGACCCACAAAGAAAATTCCTTTGTTCTTCCATTGTCTTCCAAAGGATGAAGCATCATGGGTGCAGAATAGAGTGGGGAGCTCTCAGTCCTGCCCTACGTGTGTTCTTACATAGTCTCCTAATCTTTCTGAGATGTCGTTTCCTTGTCTGCAAAACGGGAGTGTGTGGAAGGGCAAAGGAGAAAGGACAAGAGTGAGTTACATAAGCTCTTGAGTTCATTCTCTCCTGCTGACTAGTTTCTTACAGTAACTGGAGCAGAGGAGGAAACATTCAACAGCTCATTCATGCCGTAAGTGTCTAGGGAACATCTACCCTGTACCAGGCATTAGTTGACCAGTTGGAATTTTTACCATGAATGAAATAGGTGACATCCTATATTTTGATGAGAAGACAATAAATGAGCAAAGAAAGAAATTGAATAATTTTTGAAAATGAAGGGAGCTGTGCAGAAGAAAATACAAGTAAGTAATGGAATGCAGCATGACTGAGGGTGAAGGAACTACACAAAAATAGAAGGGCTGGGGAAAGCCCAACAAGATGGAAACTTTGAGCTCATTCAAAACTAGGAGCCAATCTGTCTTCTCTCCCTGTAGGAGTCACGCCTGATTCTTTGCCTGGATGCTCAGATTTACCCTCACTGCAAACACATTTTTTTGAGCTTCCTTGTTCTTAGTCAAGAACCTGAGTCCATTATGGCATACTAATGTGGGTAATCTTAGCCCACTAGAACCATCCACATAGGTACAGGCAAGCCTTGCAGTGGCCAAAGGAGAGTATGAAGAGGCCAGCAGCTGCTTAAGGAAGGCAGCCAGAAAATAAGGCACTTCTAGTTTATTTACTTTTTAAAAAAACCATTCACTCTGGGAGGAATGGTATTCTTTGTAACAAATGCAATATATTTCTGGGATAGCAATTATAGTGAATGCTTAATAGTGACTGCTATGTACTCAAACATTGTACAAAGTGCTCACATTTAATTTCATGACAACTCCATGAGGTAAACACTGTCATTACCTCCATTTTACTGAGGAAGCAACAGAGCCACAACCAGGTGAGTGGTTTGCCTAGCTTGTGAGTGGTAGGGCTGGGATTTGGAGCCAGACACTTTGATACCATTCCCTTCTTTTTTAATTTTTTAATTGCTTATTTATTTGAAAGGCAGAGTTATAGATATAGAAAGAGAGTGAGAGAAAGAGAGAGAGATCTTCCATCCTCTGGTACACTCCACAAACGACTGCAATGGCCAGGGAGCTTCATCCAAGTCTCCCAGTGGGATGCAGGGGCCCAAGAACTTGGGCCATCTTCTGCTGATTTCCAAGGCACGTTAGCAGGAAGCTGGATGAGAAGTGGAGTGGCCAGGACTCGAACCAGTGCCAACATGGGATATGAGCATTGCAGGCAGTGGTTTAACCAGCTATACCACAATGCCAGCCCCTACATTAACTTCTTTTAACCATTAAGTTGTTCCCCTTTCATGCATATAATTTGGTTTTTTAAAAATTATAATTGTGGTTTTATTGGAGTTTAAATTCAAAAAAATTTTAGAAATCTTCTGTCAAAAAGGTTCAAGACCATAACAATGGCTATGAAGTCAGACAGAACTGCATTTAAATCCTTGCTAAAGAAAAACATTATTCATATCATGTCTTAAAGCCAGGAAGGTGCTACAGTGAAATTTTGAGGTAAAGGGGAGAGATTGGGTTCAACTCTAAATACAAGGACAAAGGGAGATTGACAGACAAGGGACATGATGGGGGAGAGTGGATGGAAAAATCACTAAGAGCAAACACCTTAGAGTTCACATCTGAAAGTAAAGCATCTAAGAGAAAACAAGGGCAAGGGAAATTCTGGCTAAACTGACCTTGACTGAATATCAAGGGTGAGGACGTTTGCTAAGATGACCCAGCAACATTCTTTTCCTTTATATAGTCACTTTTTCTTTTTTAAAATTTATCTGTCTTAAAGGCAGAATTACAGGAAGAGAAGAAGATGCAGAGGCAGAGAGAAAGATGTTCCATTTGCAGGTTCACTCCCCAAATGACTACAATGGCCAGGGCTGGGCCATACCAGAGCCAGGAGCCAGGACTTCATCTGGGTGTCCCATGTGGGTACAGGGGCCTAAGCACTTGGGTCATCTTCCACTGCTTTCCTGGATGTGTTAGCAGGGAGCTGGAGCAGCCAGTTCTCAACCCGTTGCCCATTTGGGATGCTGGCGCCACAACCAGTTGCTTAACTTGGTACATCACAGCGTCACCTCACCCACCCCACCCCAGCCCCCCACACCCACACACCATTCTTGCTACAACTGTACTAAATGGGCCAAAGACAGAGTCCCAAGAGGAAGACCTAGTCTTGAAGAGGACTCAGAGGAGCTCAACTAGTTTGGTTAAAGAGAGTCTCTACCATTCACAACTGTTACTTCCTGACCAGGTAAACTTGGGTAACTCATCTAACTTCTCAGAGCATCACATTTCTCAGCTACAAAATAGAAGTAATGATATGTCTTACACATTGTTCAATAAATACTTAGCCTGGTCTATTAAGAGTCCTTTCTATCATCATTAGTACTAAAGGTCTTGCTGGGAAATCAAGTCATTCCAGATGAAACCAGTCTCTTTGAACTCTTTCAAATTGTTTATTTACTTATTTACTTACTTACTTATTTGCTTGAATGGCAGAGAGACAGAAAGAGAGAAACAGAAACAGGGGGAGATCATCCATCTGCTGGTTCATTCCCTCAAATGCTTGCAACAGCTGAGGCTGGGCCAGACTGAAGCCAGGAGCCTGGAACTCAACCCAGGTCTCTCATAGAGCTGGCAGGGATGCAGGTATTTCAGCTGTCATCTGCTACCTCCCAGAATGCGCATTAACAGGAAGCTGGAATTGAAAGTGGTCGGGATTCAAGTCTAGGCATCCCAAGCAGCATCTTAACCAGAATGCCGCATGTGTACTCCTTTAGAACTCTTAGTTGCCACCAGTACAAGTGCATCTTGTTCAAGTATTTTAGTACAAGTATATCTTGGCATGGCACTATTGCAGTGCAGTACTGAAATACCTACCAAAATATAAAACAGAGCATATCTTTGGTCTGAGTAATTTCGTTTCTGGATGCGCATACTAAGGAAATAACTGCAAAAGTAAAAAGATGTATATCTGAGGATGTCCAGTGGATCATTGTTTCATATCATAAAATTTAGAAAATAACCTAAATGTCCGGCAGTAGGAGACTGTTCAAATATGCAGTCATGCATCAGCTAAGAGCAGCAGTATATGCTGAGATACACATTGTCGGGTGATTTCATCATGGGACAAGCATGGAGTACGCTTACACACACGTGGATGGCACAGCACAATACACACCTCAGCTATAAGGCATATACTGTCATATATGCACTCCATTATTGATCAAAACATTATTACGGGGTGCATGAATATAATAGAATGGCATGCTGTCATTACATGTATTTAGTGATAAGTAAGTACAGTCATCCCACAGTTTCTAAAACGGATTGGTTCCAGGATGCCCTGTGGGGCAGAAAGTAAATACTGTATTTGAAAAGGGCGGGGGGGAGTGTTGATGGGAAACCCTTAGTGTCACTGCCAGTCTATCTCAAACTTAGAGCTTCCCATCACAGAGAACAAAGGCCCTCCCACCTGCCCTCTTCACTTTCTGATTCAGACTTTGCTACTAAAAAAATCCTTTTGAACAGCAGTGGGACAGCATCTCTCCTCTGCTTAAAAATCTTCCTCTGAATACAAGATAATATTGAATATCCTCTTGCTGCTGTTTGGGCATTTTATAACAAGCCCATAAGTGGCTCAGGTTTATTTCCTCCTCACTTTCCCTAGGCTTTTCCTTCTCCCAGAAAAATTTCCCACTCTCTTATACAACATCTTTCTCTGATTTGTCTAGTCTTCAAGGTCCCAAATGTGTCCCATCACCTGCATGCACGTGGCCTTCCAAGATAGCCCTTGGAAGACCAAATGCATAGGGCTGGTGCTGTGATGTAGTGGGCTAAGCCTCCACCTGCCAGTGCCAGATCCCATAAGGGTGCCAGTTCTAGTCCCAGCTGCTCCACTTCCAATCCAGCTCTATGCTATGGCCTGGGAAAGCAGTAGAAGATGGCCCAAGTGCTTGGGCCCCTGTAGCCACATGGGAGGGACCTAGAAGAAGCTCCTAGCCCTTGGCTTTGGATTGGCCCAGCTCTGGCTATTGTGGCCATTTGGGGAGTGAACCAGTAGATGGAAGATCTTTCTGTCTCTCCCTCTCTCTGTAACTTTACCTCTCAAGTAAATAAATAAAATCTTTTTTTAAAAAAAGACCCAAAGCATTTACTTTTACTCAATAATCTGGACTACACTGTTTGCCTGCCACTTTTTTAAAAAAAATTTATTTATTAGAGAGACAGAGTTAGAGAGAGAGGTAGAGACAGAGAGAAAGGTCTTCCATAATGTAATCCAACTGGCAGCTCTCCTTGCAGGCAGGGACCATGTCTGATGCATCTTTGCCAAATGCCAGTCCTTTAGTACTTAGTATGGAAGCCGCCCCATAAACCCTTGGTTCATGGTCAAACCGAGACTCCCTGCTCCAGCAGACAGGCAGGTCAATGTTTACCACCCATGACCAAATACCACGAGCCCTGCAAGCGGAAAATCTCCCAAAGGCACCATTTGCAGCAGGCATTAGGAAGAACTTGGGTGACACATGGAATTATTTCAATATCATTTTTTGTATCTGTGTGTTTCTTCTTTGTAAATTTATTAATTTATGGGACCGGTGCTATGGTGTAGTGGGTAAA